CCGCCCGCCCGGGGGAAGCCACAGCAGGCCTCGCCCTGCTTCCTGCCTTCACCAGCTCAGCATTCACCCGCGGAAGCGCGCCCTCCCGCCGGTCCTACCTCCAGCACGACGGCCGCGATGGGCTGGAAGGGGTTCGCAGCCGCCGGCCTCGGGGGCGGCTCCTCCCGGCTGCCCGCGCCGTCCGCCTCGGCCTGCTCGCCGTCTCTCTGCTCCCTGGTATTGCATGGGGAAAACAGAAAACGTCTTCGTACAAGGTGCTAAGTTACGTTTCATAAACCAATTTGCAACAGGCTTAAGGGTATTTAAACTTAGTAATTTAAACATATTGTCACAGCTTTTAATTATGGAGAGGATCCGAAAAATACTTGTGCAAGGGACGGGCCTCTGTGCGCACTCAGAAGCTTGGTACTTGAACCTGGGCGGGGTGCACACGCAGGAAATCCCTGCACTCGGGCTGCGGCAGAAGTTTCAGCCCGAGTTCAAGGCCAGCCTGAACTACACAGTAAGACCTTGTCTCAAAAACACAAAATAACAACCATAAAAACAAAAACAGAAATTAGTTATGGGAATTAAAAAGAAAATATTCTGACAAAATAACAACTCGTAAGAGTGACTTCAGGGGGCCGGGGAGATGGCTCAGTAGAATAAGCGCTTGCCTGGCAAGCACAAGGGCCTGCGTTCAATCCCCAGTTCCACCAAAAAAAAAAAAAAAAAGAGTGACTTCATTGTTTAATTTCTTGGAGAAAAGGCCTTGAGCAATATAGGCTGGTCTTTTTTTTTTCAATCGCTCTACTTCCAATATTTATTTAAACTAATCATAGGTGGACAACCAGCTTTCTGATTTACCCTGTACAGGCCGGCCGAGAACTCACCCTCAGCGCAGACTGGCCTTGCACGGATGGCAGCCCTCCTGCCTCCGCCTCCCAAGCGCTGTCCCAAGCCACACACCACCCCCCCAGCGAGTAACTCCTCAGTGATAACGGTACAGATTGGTTCTCAAAGAGACATAGTTGTCAACTTAGGAATTTCCCTCCAGAATCTAGGGTACTCCTTTTCCCTCCATTAACAGACAGTTTTTATTGTGACTACAACTTTTTTTTTGTTTGTTTGTTTTTTGCGGAACTGGGGATTGAACTCAGGTCCTTGCACTTGCCAGCGAAGCAGTTATTCCACTGAGCCATCTCCCCGGCCCCTGTGACTACAACTTGAACGCATTGTTTTAACTCAACCTGTAGGGTTTTTTTTATATATATATATACAAATACGTTCTTTGAATGCATTGTTTTAACTCAACCTGTTATATATATATATACACATATATATACATATATATATATGTGTGTATATATACACAAATATGTTCTTATTCACAGAGCAAGGAACACAGTGGGACAGCTATAGTGGGTTTATTCTACAGAAGTGTATGACAAGGTAGAACTACAAAGTGAGGTGTCTTGGTCTCAGCCCCCTGCGCCCGCTCAGTGAGTGGAGCTGCAGGCGCACCGGCCGAGGCTGCGGACGCTGCCCAGCATCCGAGGCGTGAAGACTAGCTCTTCAAGTCTGCAGGAAAAAATGGCCTCCAAAAAACTACATTGCAAAAAAAAGGGAAAGAAACAAAATGGGAAAAGTAAAAAAGTTGAGGAAGCAGAACCTCAAGAGTTCACGGTAGAACGAGTACTGGCCCCACATGTAGTGAATGGGAAGGTGGAGTACTTTCTGGAGTGGAAGGGATTTACAGATGCCGACCATACATGGGAACCTGAAGAAAACTTAGATTACCCAGAGTTAACTGAAGCATTTCTTAATTTGCAAAAAAGGGGTAAAGAAAAAGATGGTACAAAAAAAATAAATTAAATAAATAAATAAATAAATAATAAAAAGGGCCGGGGAGATGGCTCAGTAAAATAAGCGCAAGGGCCTGAGTTCAATCCCCGGTTCTGCCAAAAAAATAAATAAATAAAAAAGATGGTATAAAAAGAAAACCTTTATCTGACAGTGGATCTGATGACAGCAAGGCAAAAAAGAGATGCTGCTGACAAACCTAGAGGTTTTGCTAGAGGTCTTGATCCTCAATGAATAACTGGCTCCACAGATAGCAGTGGAGATTGATGTTTCTCACGAAATGGAAAGATTTAGATGAGGCTGACTTGGTGCTGGCAAAAGAGGTACATATGAAATGTCCTCAAATTGTCACTGCTTTTCTTTTGTATTTTAGGGAAGGGTCTACAGGGTGCTCAGGGTCTCACTACTAGATTGGACTCGTAGTGATCCCCCTGTTTACAGCCTCCCAAGATCTGGGATTACAGGCGCGTGCCACCTCGCCCAGTCTCAATTGCTATCTCAGCATGCCCCAGGGGCGGGGCCAGCAAAGCAGGCTGGGGATCGAACGCCTGCCCTGTGCCTGCCTGCAGGTGCTTTACTCCACTGAACTACTTGGCCAGCCCTTGTAATTGCTTTTTATGAAGAGACTAACTTGGCATCTTATCCAGAAGATGAAACTCAATAATTTACATCATATAT